ACAGAAGCTGAATGCCACATCTTTCTCCCAAGGAGAGAGATGGGTTCGAACTGCCAAACTTTCAGTTTGCAGCCCGATGCTTAACCCACTGTGCTATGCCACCAGGGCTCCTCAGAATGTCCACAGTCTCCCTCAAATCTTGGCACAATCCCAGAATCACTGACAATTCTTTTTCCCTACCCTAGAAGGCCAGCCACCCCACTACCCCATCCTTACAGGGTCTCCATCTCAAAGTGCTTGAATCCCACCTACTCTCAGGAGCTCACCATCAACTTTCTAACAAAGAAGGAAGTGAAAGTGATGAGGCAGGAGCCCAGGGGCAGGACTGCTGGTGGGGGAACTCCTTCCGAGTACTTCCTGCTGGGCTCCCAGCTGTCACACACCCAGCATCAGTAGGCCACCCTCTGACCAAGGGCTGTCAGTATGTAAAACATCAATCCCATGAGCCACTTGGATAATGACGAGGGCATTGGGGTTGCTGCCAAGGCAATGGGGTTGCAGAAATACTGGCATCTCTCAGTTATTCAGAAACTCATCAAAGGTTCCCCTTAGCCTGCCCCATCCCCTCACCCCAGAAGCAGACGGCCAAGCATCAGCAACTGCATCTTCGCAAGCCAGGCCCTCCTGGGACTCAGGTTCCTGAATCTGGATCCTCCATTCCACCTGCTGCTCCAATTAGAGTCAGGCCTTCTGTTCATCTGAGGGACCCTGAGGGGTGCCAGGCACCCCAACCTTGAGAATGGTGTCAGGGGACCCCAAATTTACACATGAGAACCACAATAGGAATACCACTGTCTCCCTCCTTCTGCTGTTCTCACGTTCATTCTATTCCTCCCAAGGCATTTATAACAACCACTGTTCTTGGCACATTGAAAGGAAACCAGGCTAACCCTCGACTTTGTACGCACGCGCTACTTCACAACAGCAAGGATGTGACGCACCGAACTTTGAGTGTGCGCTCTTCATATTACAACATCAGTTGCTTTTGAGGAGATGACTCTGTGTGACCCCAGGTATGTCGGAGTACAATAATGCTCCGCTGGGTTTTGAAGGGCTGATGTTTCAGAAGTAAATCACCAGGACTTTCTTCCGGGGTGCCTTTCTGTTAGCAGCCAAGTGTGGTAACCATTAGCAGGACCCAGGGGCGTTATCTGTATTGTTGTTGTTGTTAAGTGTTCTCAAGTCAGTTCCAACCCATAGTGACCCTGTATAGGGTTTCCGAGGAGCAGAGCTGGTAAGCTTGAACCACCGACCTTGCAGCTCAAACCGACTGTGCAGTCCAGCACATTAACCCGCAGCGCCACACCAGGTACATTAATGCCATCAGTTGGTCTTCAGTTGCACTGCACTGCTTACATAAAAGGTCGGCAGTTCAAACGTACCAGGTAATACCACGGAAGTAAAGGCCTAGTGACCTGTTTCTGTTGAGACTACATCCAAGAAAACCCTGTAAAGGTTCCTGTAAAGCACACATGGAGTTACCATGACTCAGAATCAACTCAACAGCCATTAACAACACTACCAACAACAAATGCCATCTATAAAATGTATAAAAGTAGTCCAGAACATTCCATATCCTTTCCATTCTGTGATCTTTCTGACTCAGTTTCTTGTACTTGTTTGTTTCTATGGCTATCAACCCATCTCTGGGTGGTGTAAACAGTTAACATCATCACTGCTAACCAAACAGTTGAAGTTCCAGTCTACCCAGAGATGCCTCGGAAGAAATTTCTGAAAAATCAGCCCTTAAAATCCCTAAGGCGTACAGTGGGAGTCAACACGGGTCCAATTCCATAGCAACTGGTAAAGTGATTAGGTTCTCAAGTGTTAGGACTGAAAACATCCACCAATAATAAGGAGATTCCAACTCATAGCTGCCTGATACAACACTTTCTCAGATTATAAATCTTTACAGGAGCAAAGCAACAACCTCATTTTCTCTCCCACAGAGCGGCTGGTAGGTTTGAACTGCTGACCTTTTAAATAGCAGCCCAAAGCTTAATCCACTGTGCCACCAGAGCTCCCAGAGTAAGGCCTGCGGCTGCTAAATGCCCCTAATTCGGTTCCGACTCATAGCAACTCAATGCACAACAGAGCAAAACACTGCCCAGGGCTATGCCAACCTCGCACTTGTTATGTTTGAGTCTGTGGCTGCCACTCTGTCAATCCATCTCATTGGGGGGGGGGGGGGTCTTCCTCTTTTGCTGACCCTCCACTGTATCAAGCATAACGTCCTTCTCCAGGAACCAGTCCCTACTGTTCTTGAGATGAGGTCTCTCTATCTTCACTTCTAAGGAACATTCTGGCTGCATTTCTTCCAACACACAAATCTGTTCTTTTGGCAGCCCACAGCACTTTCAATATTCTCCTCCAACACCATAACTCAAAGGCATCAATTCTTCTACGGTCTTCCTTATTCACTGTCCAGCTTTCACATGCATGTGACGTTATTGAAAATACCAAGGCTTGGGTCAAGAGCACCTTAGTCGTCAAACTGGTATCTTTGCTCTTGAACACTTTAAAGAGGTCTTGTGCTTAACAGATTTGCTTAATACAATATGTCATTTGATTCCTTGATTGCTGCTTCCATGAGTGTTGACTGTCTTGACAACTTCAACCTTTTCTCCACTTACCATTATGTTATTTGTTGGTCCAGTGATGAGGAATTTTGTTTTCTTTACACTGAGGTGCAACCCGTACTGAAGGCTGTGGTCTTTGATCTTCATCAGTAAGTATTTTAAGTCTTCTTCACTTTCAGCAAGCAAGCTTGTATCATCTGCATATTGAAATTGTTAATGAGTCTTCCTCCAAAAATCTCACTGCCATGTTCTTCTTCATACAATCCAGCTTCTCAGCTGATTTGCTCAGCAAACAGATTGAGTAAGTATGGTGAAAGAATGCAACCCTGATACACACCTTTCATGATTTTAAACCATTCAGTATCCCCTTGTCCTGTTCTGTAAACAACTGCCTCTTGGCTATGTTCAGGTTCCTGTGAGCACAATGAAAGGTTCTGGAATTCCTATTCTTTGCAATGTTATCCATAGTTTGTTATGATCCACACAGTCAAAAGCCTTTGTATAGTCAATAAAATACAAGTAAACATCTTTCTGGTATTCTCTGCTTCCAGCCGGGATCCATCTGACGTCAGCAATGAGATCCCTAGTTCATATCCTCTTCTGATTCTGGTGTGAATTTCTGGAAGCTCCTTCAGAATGTTCTTTGAATTATCTTCAGCAAAAGTTCACTTGCATGTGAGTGCAAGGCTTGGAGGAGAGTAAACAATTTACCTGGAAATACCTGAAGATGACAAGGCCCTGCCCCCAGGGGGCTCTGGTGAATGGTCTTGTAAAAGCATTCCTGAAGAAAAACTTGCAGAGACACACACCTGTGGGGACAATACCTGTGCTACGTGCCCCTCTCAAGGTATACAAACCCCTGGGGGAAATGGGTGTGGAACACTGTCCCTTAGGTCACAGGTACAATGGTCCATGAATGTACTAGAACCCTCGCCGGGAGTAACTCAGGCACAGGCTGCTCATGGAAATCTCTCTCCATACCCTGAAGGCACTTTGGTGGTACAGTGGTTCAGCACTAGACTGCTAACTGAAAGATTGTTCTAAGAGTCCTGGAGTCACTTCTGACACTTAGCCACCTCTATAGGGCTTCCGAGGAGCCGCTGGTGGGTTTGAACTACCGTCCTTGTGGTTCAAAGTCCAGTGCTGACCCCACAGCACAAGAGCAGGAGTCCTACCTAAAAGGCAGGCAGTTTGAACCAACCAGCCACCCCACGGGAATAAGATCTGTCCATCTGCTACCGTGAAAACCTGTTGTTGTCATTCTGTTGTTAAGTACTGTAAAGTCGGTTCTGACTCACAGTAACCCTGTATAGGGTTTTTGCCCACCTTGTGGTCCAAACAGACCTGTGGTCCAATGCTTATCCTACAGCACTACCTTAGGACTCCGTCTTGGAAAACTCAATGGGGCAATCCCACCAGGAATTGACTCGTGGTTGCAAGTTTGCTTTATTTTCAAGGGACCCTTAATTCGACCTCCCCAACCTACCTCTTTGGAGTCTTGATGTGGCACTAGTGTTGAACTATATAGAGGTTAAACATTGGACTACCAACCTCAAGGTTGGCAGTTCAAACCCACTAGCCACTCCTGGGAAACCCTATACCCGGTCGCTGTGAGTCGGAAGCCACTCAAAGGCACTTAACCAACAACCAACAGCAACTTGCCTCTTCAGTCCCCCACCCCCAGCTCTCACCAGAGGAGAAGCTCACACTAGGCCCCAGGGGAAGAGCCTCCGGCCAAACAGCTCCAGAAAACTGCCCCAGAACAACAGGATGCTTGAAGCACAGATACTAGATTCCAGAAGTTTCTTCATCCCTCGCAATTTTAGAACCTTTCAAATGTTAAGGGGGTGGGGAGGAGGAGGGGGAGGGTGTACAGAATTCCTTTCTGAGAAGTGGAGTGCAAGCAAGACCCCAACCCCAGTCCTCCAGGCCTGAGATCTGGGCGCCCTGCCTCTCCTTCCTCCATCCCGGAGGACAGGGGGCTTTCTGGCTAGTCTCTGGGGCAGAGTTCCCTCACCACCAGAGGGTGCCCCGCACAGGACAAGTGTCCACTAAGTGGTTATCAGAGGAATGTCCACTAAGTGGTCATCAGAGGAATGCCCACACGACACAGCTGCTCAGACTTGGCCTGCAGGCGGGGCTGCCCGCGGACGGAATGAGCGATTTCAACCGATTGGTTCAAGGCCCACGCTGGGGGCAACAAGTGCCGGGTCACCGCGCTGGCCACCACCGCCTGCGGCCCGCTGCTGAGGGGCAGTCCACAGCCGGCCAGTCTGCTCAGGGCTCTGAGGCCCGGGGAGGAGCGAGGGCGCCAGGGTCAAAGCCTGTCCCGAAGGTCGCAGAACGGAGCGGGGGGAGCTCAGCCAGGCGCGGGGACGGCGGGAGCGCGGGGGCGCGCAGGGGACCCAGCGGGGCACTCACCCTCCTTGGCCCGCTTCCTCCGGGCCAGCGTGCCGCCCAGCTTGCCAAGGAACGACTCGTCCTTCTTCATCTTGTGCGGCCGCGGGGGCGGCGGGCGCAGCGACGGGGACGACATGGGCCGATGGGAGCCGCCTGGCCGTCGCCGCCCGCCCGCTCGCTCACTCACTCGCCCGCCCAGGGAGTGGCGGCCCGGAGGGCGCGGCCAGCAAAGCCGGCACAGGCACAGCCCCCGCCCCCCGGCGCCCGAGGTCGCCTGAGTCCCCGCGCTGGCTGGCCGCAGCCCCGGGGCGTCCCTCGGAGCCCGAGCCCGGGACGCACGCGGCGCGGCCACCACTTCCCACCAGTGTCCAGTGAGGGGTTCCTCTGGGAAGTGCAAGGAGGTGGGTTCCGATGGTGGTGCTGGGGACACAGACAAAGCCACAGGCCCCCATCTGGGTAGGACTGGAGCTGCCCCTTGGAAGCCCACGTTCATCAACTAAGGCAAATCCGTCATTTCATCTACGAAGCCTCTTCCAGGAACCGGGCCTGAAGCTCGGAGGGGAACCCCATGAGCAAGGAACTGTCCTTGAATCTGGGGGGTGATGCTGACAGAGAGGTGACCTCAGTACAGGGAACAAGGGCATGGAGAATTAGACCAGCTCCAAGAGAAGTCAGAATTCTTCCGGGAAGAGGTGACCACTTAGCCACAGGAAACAGCTGCTGGTCCCTGAGACCAGGCCTGGCAGAGCTAGCTGAGGGAAGGACAGATGTTCTGCAGACTGAGTCCAGGTCGGGTGTCTGCCTGACTCGTTCCTTGTCAGGAGCAAGCAGATGGCCACCAACTTTCTGGGCTCCAGTCTGCCTCCTCCATGTGTGTGGGTTCATGTATTTGTATCCAATCTGCTCTTTTTATAACACAGAAGTGATTCGATTTAGAACCCACCCAACTCATGAACATGAACATAATGAAGAAACCCCTGTTTCCAATCACATGCACATGCACAGGTGTGGAAATTAGAATTCCAACACATGTCTTGGGAGTTGGAGGGATGCTGGAGAGGAGGTCAGAATTCAACCCAAAGGACTCTGGTGAGAGATGAGGTGGGCTGCATTTAAGAGAGGAACTGACTTCTAGAGACCCTCCCAGGTGGAATAGACTTGTGTAAATGATACAAGCAGAGATCGGAAGTTTGGAAATGGATACTGGGTTAAGGTTGCCTTTCCATCTCAGAATCCCTAGAAGGTGCAAACCGTTAACATGCTTGGCTATTAACCAAAAGGTTGGCGGTTTAAGTCCACCCAGATGCACTTCAGAAGAAAGGTCTGACGATCTAATTCCAAACAATCAGCCATTGAAAACTCTGTGGAGCACATTTCTACTTTGACTCTTGGGGTCGCCAACAGTTATGTTGACTCAGCGCATCACTATTGTTTATGTTGTTCTAAAACTCTTAGCAGCCCCATCCAGAACCTTCTGAGGTGGGACGTTTCTACTTGAAAGGACAAGCAGACCAGCCTGGAACAGCTAGAGAAACAGAAGATACATCTTGAAAGAAAGATCAGCAGGAAAAATCAAAAACAAAACTGTCAGTCTCACTGGCTACTACGAGGACAAGCAAGTTGCTTGGTGGAGAGCCATCAAGTCCCTTCAGGACAACCCCCTTCCAAGACTGAAACTCAAAGGGAACACACGAATAGACATGTAAGCTTGCTGGTGACTGCGTTGGTCTACTGGGGAATGTCAATAATGAAGATATATGGGCTGAGCTTGACCATATTCCATAGACTCCCATTGACCTGGAGATGAGAGAGAGAAGAGGAAGGGCTGGTTGGTCCAAATTGTGGTGAGACCTGGGGACATCTGAGCCCATGGACAAGGACATAGCCACAGAGGGCTCGAGCTAAGAGTGAAGCATCCAGCTGATATGAAGTGAGGAGAGACGCACAAGAATGCTCAAACTTGCAGATAGTACCCATTTGACCTAGCTTTGATGAATTGAGTGTTTTTGTGTACGTTGCCCCCCTTGCAAAAAAAAAAAAAGGGGGAATGGAAGCAAATACTGTTGAATGATGATGCATGGAAGGAATTGTAATCATTGCAATGAAATAGTAAGTGTAAAACTGATGTTCTCCCATGTAAACTGTCGCTGAATTCGCAATAAAAATAATAATAAAAAAATATCTTAGCAATCCTACATACAGAACAAAACATTCCCAATCCTATGCTACCCTTACAATTGTTTATATTAGAACCCAGCCAATGCATCTCACTGGGGGTCTTCTTCTTTTACGCTGACCCTCTACCAAGCATAATGTCCCTCTCCAGGGACTAGTCCCTCCTGATAATGTGTCTGAAGTCTCCCCATTTTGACTGTCCACTCTCCAAGATGGATTTAGTCATTCTTTTGCCAGGCCATGATATATTTAATATTCTTTGCCAACACTGCGATTCAAAGGCATCATTAATTCTCCATCTTCCTTATTCATTGTCCAGCTTTTTACATGCGTATGAGGTGTTGCAAAGAACCTTCTTCACTTCTGTTCTCTGTGTAAGTGGCACCCAACCCCATCCCAAGCATGTCTGTCCCACTGTAATGGTGGATGACCCAAGAGAGAGCAGCGGGTATCTGGGGAACAAGTGTGGGAGTTAATTTCCCACTTGGGATTTTTTGAGGCATGTGACTACATTACACATTCTGAAATTAATCATTTATAATTAAATGTGGGTGTTTAATGAAACAAAGGAGTTAGCCAAGCAAACCCTGGCCCCGTATACTCTGCTTGGGATGTTTAGAGGATGCAGATGCAGCCTTGCCTCAGGAAGTCTGAGGTTCAGGAGGATGTAGAAGATGGACAGAGACAAAGCCATGCTGTGGGAGCAAAACAGAGGGGCGTCCAGCAGGCAGGAGGCAGGCCTCCACACCCCTGCCAGTGGACGGCATGTGTCTGGAGGGAGAGGAGGGCCTAGGTGCAGAGAAGGGCTTCACCAAGAAAGGGACCCTCGAGCTGGAACTGGGTAAGTGATGCCCTCAACCTCCCACTGTCCTCGACACAACCCCGAACCTAGAAACAGGCCTCACTAGGACACACACTGGGAAACATCAAGCAAGCCAAGGCCCTCACTTGACCCTGAATCATGGCAACCTCACGTGTTTCAGAGGAAAACAATCAAATTGTTTCCAATGATTGGTTTTTCAGCGGAAGAATTCCAGGCCATTCTTGCGAGGCAGCATTGAATATACTCGAACCACTGACCCCACCAACCTCTCGTAGGTGAACACAGCCATAGGGCCACCCGAGTGCTTCCCCAAAGACTCCGAGAGACACCAACAGGGAGAAGAAAATGGAACAGAGCCATCTTTATGGGGGGCAAGAACCAAAGGAAAGTCAGGGTTCAGAACACAACAGTCCAGAACATGTGGCAAGTGCCCAGTCAAGAACTGACCATTTGAAGATTTCATCAGTGGTCCAGGCCCCCACAACATTTACATATTTCCTTTAGCGTTTGTTAACCCACACACTGCAGAGAAGACTGAATCCTAGTTTGAAAACTGCCGTTACATCTTGAAAGAATGTATCCAGATGTTCCAGCCCTGACCATGGCCCTGTGCTCCCACCAGAATTAGCTACAGCCAAGTGCTACTTAATGGTAAAACAGGAGAGCAGGCTTCTGGGATTTTGAATAAGAATGGAATCATATTCTCAACAAAGCCATGGCACTTATTACTAAGAAAGCCCCTTGGAAAGAGTAACTTTGTGCCAAGTTCATCATCATTTCATTCCTTAGGATGAGTGACAGTTTTTACACCATCTCAGACTAAAATATCACATGCGTTTCTTCTAGTTCCCTTGTACCTCTTTGGATGAGGAATAGAATGATTTTTTTATTACTTTTTATTGTGATTTGCATTAAAGCTTGCAGAGCAAATTGGCTTTCCATTCAACAATTCATGCCCATTTTGATTTGTGGCATCGATTGTAATCCCTGTAATATAACAGCGCTCTGCCCACATCTCTGATTCCCGTTCCCATTCACCCCTTCTTTCCTATCCCTTCCCACCTTCTGAGATTTCTCCCTGCGTAAATGCTGCCCTATTGATTTCTGTGGTTGATTGTTCCAAAGCATACGTGTCCCTGATGTGATTGTTCATCTTATAGGCCTGTCTATTGTTTGGCTGAAAGTTGGGCCCCAGAGGTGGCTTAAAGGATGACTAAGGGCCACAGTTTAGGGAGTTCCTCCGGTCTCTATCAGACAAGTAAACCTGGTCTTTTTTACCAACTTTATTTTCATTTTGAGTTTTCTTCCACATATTTCTCCCTAGGATGATTTCTTTAAATTATTGTTAAATAATGTGACTTTTGTCTTAGATATCAAGAAGTCACTCAATGATTGTGTATTAATTTGCATTTTTTTTTTTTTTTTCGGAATTAGTGGGAAGGACAGTGATCTCAACCCCCTACCCCAACAACAACAACAACTTCCCCTCCGTTTTGGCTTGACTTCTAAAGAATCCACATAGCGTTCTCTGGAATGGTAGCATGACTTACTTACAAGTCAGAATGAAAATGAAGGGACTGTTGTCATCTGGAGGTAGATAACCAAGCCTTTCTTCGTAGTCTATCTTAATAATCTAGAAGCTTCGCTAAAACATGTTCTGCATCATAGCCTTGCAGACAGACGAGGGTTGATAACCTCTCATAACATCTCAGTTGCACATGAGATGCGTTAGCTGGGAATCGAACCTAGGTTTCCCACATGTAAGGCAAGAATTCTACCATTGAACCTCCACTGCCCGCCCCCACCTCACTTTACAGAGCAGCATATATCAGTATTAACTTGAAAGTCAGAAAGTGTTGGTTTTAAGTAAAGAGGGAGGATTTAACAAGAGGAGGGATATGAGCGTAGCCAGAGTCTTCAGCAGTTCAGTCTTCTGTGTCTTAGCATGCCACCCACGTACACCAGAACCTTTGCTCTGCATACATCTTACATTTGGAGAATAATTATGAAAATCAGATTACATGCAGCTGCCCCTATTAGAGAAAACCACTTTACTTGCTTTTGAACCGTAGCTTTCAAGGAGGCTAGTTCTTAATTGAGGACAAGGGAACGTGAAATTCACAAGCACGTGCTGCATC